TTAAAATATTAGTGTGTTAATAATAAAAATGAATTTTAAAAACTTATAAAAAAGCTATATAATATAAAGGTAAAAATTAAAAATAAAGTAAATAACGTATTAAATAAAATAGTTTTAAAAGTAATAATTATAAACAATTTATTAAATTCGGTAAATTTAGTAAATTTAAACGATTTCGAGTAATTATTAATGTATTTATAACATACAATGATTTTATAATGTTATAAAATGGTATAAAAGTAAAGTGTAAAAAAAAAAGATTAAAAAAGTTAAAAATGTAAAAAAAGGGGTTAAATAAAGTAAAATAATTAATAATATAAAAATTTTAAATAAGCTTATATAAAGTGGTAGTGTTAATAAAAAAGATAAAAGTGGTAAAAGTAAAATTTAAAAAATTTAAAAAATAAAAGATAAAAAATAAAAAAGGTAATAATAATAAAAAAAGCAATAATAATAAATAAAGTAAAAAAAAGATTAAAAAATTTAAAAAATAAGGTTATTTAACTTGTATATTTTAATAATAACGATATATTTTTTAATATTTTAAAAAGATTAAAAAAAAAATAATAAAAAGGAAAAATTAAAAAGGTTAAAAATGTAAAAAAAAAAGTTAAATAAGTAAAATAATTAATAATATAAAAATTTTAAATAAGTCCGTATAAAGTAATAGTGTTAATAAAGGTAATAATAAAAGTAATAAAATTAATAAAAGTAGTAAAAATAAAATTTAAAAGATTTAAAAAATTTAAAAAATAAGGTTATTTAATTTATATATTTTAATAATAACAATATATTTTTTAATATTTTAAAAAAATTAAAAAAAAAGTGGTAAAAAGAAAAGATTAAAAAAGTTAAAAATATAAAAAAAGGAATTAAATAAATAAAATAGCTAATAATATAAAAATTTTAAATAAATTTATACAAAATGGTAATAAAAGTAATAAAAATAATAATTAAAGTAATAAAACTAATAAAAATAATAAAAATAAAATTTAAAAAATTTAAAAAATTTAAAAAATAAAGTTATTTAACCTATATGTTTTAATAATAATAATATATTTTTTAGTATTTTAAGGTAATTAAAAAAAAAGTTATAAAAAAAAAAATTAAAAAATATAAATAAAAGTAAAAAATAACTAATAATATAAAATAAATAAATGGGTTTATATTATAATACGTACTTTTTTAAATATGTATTAAAGTACGTATTACGGTACATATTATATAATAAAGTTATTTATAATTGTATTTTCGAGATTACGATAATTTTTTAATATTTTTAAAAAAAGGTTATATAAAAAAAAATTTAAAAAAAGTAATAAGTAAAAATAAATGGGGATATAAGCTAACCCCCCCGAATTAGCCAATTATATTGCCGGAAAAATTTTACCCGAGGTTTTACCGGTATCGATAACGTAGATGCCTTAGGCTAGTTTTATAATACGGCCAGGTAAGCCTTAAATTCGAACGTATCTAACTTAACTCGTATCGAGCCAGGTATATACGATTATCTAACTTGACCTGACTCGTGGAACTCGCTGCGTGTAACAGTTTACTACGCCGGGCAACAACATCCTTTGCACCTCGACAAAGCCTTCTGGATACCTCTTCGCTTAGGTACCACGTTTCCCCCAGACCAGGATGGTGGTTCCACCGCAAACATGGTAGAATAAGCAAGGGGCGGTGTCTTTATCTCGTAGCATACCGTTTGTAGGTTGTTTTCCGCCAAAATCCTACCAGTCGGTACGGATCCGTACAGATATATAATATCTGTCAAATACCCCCCAATCCTACCGTCTCTGTGCTCCCTCTCCTTTGCTACCCCGTCACAGACGCGCCGTCCCCCCGCTATCACTTCATACAGTGACGCACGCCTTGAATCGTGACAGCTTGACTCTTTACTACACAGCGGGAGAAAGACAGGACGACGAAAAGATGGCCGGCGGTGTTGTTGTCACAGGCACCGCCGACGTGGGTCGCGTTGAGGCCCCCGTTACATTCAAGGCATACCTTATTTGCGCCTTTGCCGCCTTCGGTGGTATCTTCTTTGGCTATGATACCGGTGAGCTTGAAGTCTCGAGGCCGTAGTAAGCCATTTTAGTTACTAATCATGAGGTATACATCTAGGTTGGATGAGTGGCGTGTTGGCCATGCCGTATTTCATCACTCTATACACCGGAGTCCCCTACGATTATAACGCCGTCAACGCTGATGGTACGATCGGTGCTCCTATCGGCATTGATAAGGACGCCTTCACCCTACCGTCAGCAACACAGTCTCTCTTCACATCGATCCTGTCTTGCGGTACCTTCTTCGGCGCTCTTGTAGGTGGTGATATTGCCGACTTCGTTGGCCGACGTCCCACTATCATTGCAGGATGCTTCATTTTCATGCTTGGTTGCATTTTACAGATTGTGAGCACCAATCAGGAGGTTCTGTTCGTATTCGGCCGTCTAATTGCGGGTGGTGGTGTCGGATTTATCTCCGCCGTTGTCATCCTGTACATGTCCGAGATTGCACCTAAGAAGGTTCGTGGTGCTATGGTCTCCGGATACCAGTTCTGCATTACTATCGGTATCCTTCTGGCCAATTGTGTGGTTTACGCCACCCAATCCCGCCCCGACTCGGGCTCGTACAGAATCCCTATCGGGATTCAGTTTCTATGGGCTATCGTTCTAGGCGTCGGTCTTTTCATCCTCCCCGAGTCTCCTCGTTATTTTGTCAAGAAAGGCAAGATCGAGGAAGCTGCTAAGGCCCTTGCTTACGTCCGCGGTCAGCCATTGGACTCGGATTTCGTTAAGGACGAGCTAGCTGAGATTGTGGCCAACAATGAGTTCGAGATGCAGAATCTCCCTCAGACTTCCTATATTGGTTCATGGACTGCTTGCTTCAAGGGATCATTATCTCAGGGTAACAGCAGTATCAGACGAACACTCCTCGGTTCTGGTTTGCAGATGATGCAACAGCTCACCGGAATCAACTTCAGGTATGTATAAAAATGTCCCGTATTATCCTCAACCCCCTATTCCTTCGTAAGGTATACAGTGACTAACGTTTAGTAGTAAGTGCGATCACTCAAAAAATGAATGATGAAGATTTTAGAATTGTAAAGCTGACACAGAATATTTTCACGCATCAGTTTTCTATTTCGGAAATGTAAGTATCGAATGCGAAAATATCTTGATTCGGTTTTTTCTTTCCTCTTTTTCCTCGCAAGATAAATTAAATGGAATATTTAAATTTTATATATATCATACTTTACCTACGTAGGCACCGAACCTCTTTGCTAATGGAAAACAACAGGTATTTTTCAAGCAACTCGGAACTATTTCGAACCCTTTCCTCATCTCCTTAGTCACGACCCTTGTTAACGTATTGTCGACACCTATCGCGTTCTATACTATCGAGAAGTTTGGTCGCCGTGCTCTGCTGATCACTGGTGCCTCGGGTATGATCATCTCTCAGTTCATTGTCGGTGCCATTGGCGTCACCGCAGGAAGAGAAGAGGTTCACAACAACGCTGCTGCCCAGGCCATGATCGCCTTCATCTGCATCAACATTGCCTTTTTCGCTACCACATGGGGTCCTACCGCCTGGGTCGTCGTTGGTGAGGCTTTCCCGCTACCTATTCGATCCCGTGGTGTTGGTATCTCTACAGCCTCCAACTGGTTCTGGAACACCATCATTGCCGTCATTACCCCTTACCTTGTCGGTAAAGACGAGGCCAACCTCGGGGCTAAGGTGTTCTTCCTATGGGGTTCGCTTTGCTTCATCTCCCTAACGTTCGCCTACTTCCTCGTTCCCGAGCTGAAGGGCCTGTCCCTCGAGCAGGCCGATATGTGCATGCAGGAAGTCAGCCCACGTCACTCCGCCAAATGGAAGCCAAGCCACACGTTTGCTGCCGAAATGCACCACGTGGAGGACAACGCCGCTCTAGTAAACAACACCATCGAAGAGAAGGTTTAAATAGCCGACATCTTGTCCGGTTGTTAAAGGGTAACGGGTTGTGTGTATGTTTTTTGTTGCTTAAAAAAGTAAGGATGTATTAATCGAGCATTTAACTTTTAACATATATATACCTAAGTATTAACTATATAAATATAGTAAAATAATTTATTTAAATAACACGTGTTTTAAAATAAAATATAATATTACATATAAATAGTATTATATTATAAATTTAAATATATATCATCCCGATTGTTTAACCTTTTTTACTTTACATCTCAACCTCAGCCTCATATCTAAGCCTCACATCTCCACCCCTGGATCTGCTCAATTCATCTTCCGAACTCAACCTAGCCAGCCTCGATCCTCCTCCGACCAGGGGACATGAGATTGCACTGAAATTCCCGAAAAGCTGTTTGATGCCGAGACCGTGCCTGGCTACTGTCCGATGATGCAAGGTCCAAGATGTACCTTCGAGTCTCCATCAAATCTTTGTGGCGTCTCTCCAATGACGAATGCCTATCCAACAACACCTCCGACTGATCATCCAACATCCCACCTTTATGCTGGTGATCGAATTCCTGCTCCACTTTCTAAATTTGTCTTTCATTCTCCGCGATCAGGCAATGAAGAGGGCCATGTTGCAGGGTATTTAGAGTAGATCTGGTGGTGATAAAGACAAGATGAGTGATGTTGACTGCAGATGAGAATGATGGCTGGTAGAGCATTTGGAAAATGTGGTGGCTTTTATGCGATGCGTTCGTAGTCAAAGCTTTCAGCTTCCTAACAAATGGAGGTCCGGTTTAACCCAACACCAAGTTGGTGGCATGGAAATGGTATTCGTAACAGTGTTCAGCCTATTACTCGGGATAATGGATACCAAAAAGCTAAAATAGATATAACTAAGGGATATCGCAAGGCAAAATCACACTATTACCTTGCATAATGTATACACCGTTAGGCATTATATTGAACAAACGATTATTGATTAACTGAACTAAACTAAGAACATTGACACGTGACCTAGTTATGTAAGTCTGGGATAACTTTGGGATATGTAAGTTGCGCCCTCATACCTGTACCCAATCAATGTTTCGCGACGTAGTCCCTGTTGCCTACCGTGTATTCTATACCGTGTATAGAATACACTAAGAGTCTAAGACACAACCTTTTCCACATTTCACAAACACGAATCCCTCAAATACCTTCCATAGGTAACCAACTCCCGACTACGTAAGACTTAAGTGTCCGGATAGTGAATATCGGGCTTCTAAATAGGGGCAATCATATCAGTATATCAACTACAACTTGCTTGCAATTATGAAGAGAAAGAAATGGGTTGTCTTGGGTACCAGGCGCTTTAGCGCATTTGCTGCTTAGAGGAGATAATGTCGCTAACGTTGCATGCAGAGAATAATCCCGAGGTGATGAACCAATTGGCCGCAAAGCTAGGTTTGTCCCGGGAGTTATCATTCTACGATGTCTGGTCGCTTGATGAACCTGAACTCCTAGCCCACATCCCTCGTCCCGCCCTGGCTTTACTAGTCATCTTGCCCCTTACCCCTGCCTGGAAGGCAGAGCGCGAGGCCGAAGATGCTGAGAAGGAGGACTATCAAGGTCGCGGACCTGAGGAGCCCGTAATCTGGTTCAAGCAGACCATCGGCAACGCTTGCGGGTCCATTGGGTTCCTGCACTGCGCCATCAACGGCCCGACTGCGGAGTACATCCAACCGGGCTCCGATCTGGACGAGATCCGTCGCCAGGCCATCCCTTTAGGAATGAAGGAGCGGGCCGACTTGCTTTATAACAGTGTCCCTTTCGAAAAAGCTCACGAATCGTGCGTCCAACTTGGAGATACTGTCGCCCAGAACGAAGAGCATCTAGGACAACACTTTGTAGCGTTTGTTAAGGTTGGTGGTAGGCTCTGGGAATTGGAAGGGTCGAGGAAGGGTCCGATAGACAGAGGCGCGCTTGCGGACGACGAGGATATTCTTAGCCCGAGGGCACTAGATTTGGGGTTAAGAAGGGCTATACGCCTTGAACAGCAGGCTGGAGGTACGGATTTACGGTTTAGCTGTATCGCTCTGTCTCGGAAAGCTTAAGTCTCTGAGGATAGAATAGTGTCACGAAGTCTTCAAGGTCTGCCTTTTATGCACAATTCTAAACCAGAGCCTGTGAGGAGTACTAGAGTATTTAGTATGTCCTATGTCTAGCTTGCTATTTGCCCCCTATTGATAGAGATCACATTTGGACTTGAGTACCTAGAACAACGGAAATACTGGGTTCCGGGCGGTGTTACCTATTCTTAATAGAGAATATAGAAACCGTTTACTGCATGAACCGAATGAGCTCATTTTTATTATCTAGGCTTGAGTTTCTCCCATTGTGTTAGCAAGCTTAGTTCTCGTGGTGTCGGTCCCGTCTGAGCTATACTAGTCCTCTTTAGACTAGGTAGTTAAATACTGAATTGACTCATTTACGCTGGTGACTATGCCGTGTCTATGGGCATAATCAAAAAGGAGAATATCGAAGTATGTTAAAGCTGGGACTTAGTAGTTACCACAAAGAGGTATGAGACTAGTAAGAAGAGTGATATAAATTCTAATCCATCAATCATGGACTAAAAGGAAGGAGGGGCTACACCGCTCATCCAATTGATCGTGTGAAGGCCTCAAGTTGGGAAGCAGGACACGTGGGATAAGCGGTCTAACCCCTGAGTGGAATAGGCGTGTAGTCGGGATGTCGTCGCCGGGACTCGGCTGCGGCTCAAGCAAGAATTGCTGAAAAGGGGTAAGATCATCGATAGGTCATATGTTACTCGAGGTCCGCATTCTGCATTCTCCAATGAACTCCCCAAGGGGAGCTTCAGCTAAGGGTTCGGTTGCATAGGACCTGGCCGGCAAGGCACATTTCGAATATGTATAGTGATAGATAAATCCAGGGGGTCTAGGCCGATCTAGCGGCTTTCGTCAAGACTACGTAATTCCTATGTCATACATCGCCTCCGAGATCTCCCATATTGCGTTCAGGTTACTCGCAGAGGAAGATAACAGATGTTAGATGGTTAAGATGAGTGAAGTTTATAATAGCTATAAAAAAAAACCGGACATTCGAGGTAAGGGAGATCGGATGGATTACCGAACTCGCTTTCTATTTTCTTGGTGGAGTTGGAGGTACCATTACCTACTGGCTAACTGGGTCGCTTTTTGCTTACCCCATCTTACCCCCACATCATCCGTTATTCCAGTAGTTCCAGGTACGTGTGCTTGGAATCGTTAGCGCAGAATACCTAACTAGGTACCTACCCCAACATTTCAATCCTGCTAAGCTACCTACCTTCTAGGTACCCATTAAGCTAGCCCGGTTCTAGGTACTTCAGGTACTATATTTTGTTTCACTTAGCAAGTTCCAATTATGTTCGTCAGCATGTGATTTGTTGGTAAACTCTCTCAACATCAATTGGGGAACCACTGGAATTATGGGTAATTGTCTCTTTCCCTTTTCTATTTCGCTAGAGTTTTTTATTCCAATCCTATCATGACCTCTCAAAAAAAAAAAATCTTTTTTTTCTTTCACTTCATATTAATCTATATTTTGATTAAATTTCCTTCTCATTTTAGTATCCACCCCACAGCTATGCTGCGCACTGCGCACTGCGCGCTGCATACATATGTGCCGTATCTTTATTTTTACTTGTGCCCTCCTTACATACGCAGCCCCAATCAGACTCTCAGTCACAGATCTACCCGGCCAGCTAGCTTGAGCTAGCTGGGGCTGACCGTTCTTCGAGCGCAGGTTTGACAGGCATCAGGGGGTTTCCGTTTATGCCGTACCCATCTGATATCTTATACCTAAATCACCGGCAAGATGCGGCATGACGTCGAGCTTAGCTCTTTTTTTACGGGTAGCCAAGCCTGGCATCTACCGTCAACACTTAACCCTTTTTGATGTCCTTCACGATGGCTTCTGACTGGGCGCTGTTATCCAATTCAACTCCTATGAGCTTGAAAACCAGCTGTTATAGCTGTCATATCTGAAGCAACCACAAGAGGCTTTATACCCAAAGCCGGGCTCATACGAAGCCACGAACTTGATGGAAGCGGTGCTGAACCGCTACTGGCGATTCTAGCAAGTTGCGAGCGCAAAGTGCGGTTCCTACGTTTATTCCCATATTAGAGTGCACACGTGGTAGGTTGACGAGTGAAGTAGGTAGGTTACATATTCGCAATGGCTAGGCGGGTTGAAGCATTGATATCCATACCTGGCTTGTAGCCTTCTTCAGCCCCTAGAGTTTTGTCCACTTTACTTGGGTATGTTCATGGGGTTCCCTTCGCAAGTCCAGCCACACTCAATTGTTCCCCCGTCTATCGTGGCATCAACCACCATAAAAATCACCACACTACTCCAAAGACCCAAGCTATCTAGTATGTGGCGGTCTGGGAAGATAAGCTTCACCAGGCTAACCATGCTATGAATTAGTACTATACCCGACAAGTGGAAGAGGGTATCCTCTCAATCACGACCGCCCACTTGAAAAGGAAAAAACCCAAGAGCCCTGTATTCCCATTCTTTGGTGAGGCCGGCCAGCGGAGTCGGGCATTTCCTCCGTGAGAATTGCCCTCCACAGTCATTCAAAACAACCTGTTTTTGCTTGCCCTAGCCCAAAAGTCTCCAAAAAATACAAACCTCAATTAGCTTTTGCTCTCGTGCCATCCTGAAGATCCCCTATTGCATAACACTCTTCGGTAGGGCAGGATTTATGACCTAGACCGGACTGTCGCCACAATCCTGGTCTGTCTGGGGTTCCTAGATATCCGAGTGCATACTCCCGCCGAGTACGCGTTGCGGTCCGGCCCGGCGACCGCCCCTTCAATCCCCAGGCGGCAAGTATACTACACCTGATCTGCATCAACTCATCCTTTCGGATTCGCGCTTCTTTTTAGGAATGGTCGTGTCCAGGCACAACCGTAGCACTAAAATCATATTATCTGTCATGTGCTCGGTCGATAGGAAGCTTTCTCGATCGACCTCGAACCAGAGGCCATTTACCCGATTTTCACCTACCTACCCCCCGGCTCGCTTCTTGTTTGTAGAGGATGAATCCTGAGAGTACCTCGAATAACTCGAGCCCTGCCGGTCCAGTGACGCCTACCAACAGTCGAAAGGAGCGGGGTGCCATAGCTGCTCAGGTATCTATCTCATATTTCTCTTCTTAGTCAGTTATTGACAATCTGCCTAGGCCTGCGAGTCTTGCAGACAACGTAAACAAAGATGCAGTGAAGAGAGACCAAAGTGCGCTACCTGTCAGGTTAGTAACCCGAGTCCTCCTTATCTATTTAGTCCTGTCTAGGGAGCTATCCCAGGAGAGCGACATCGAAGTCGCACAGTTTTTGTTTCTTAATTACACTTCTAGTGACTCCTTAAACCGCGACATAGACTTACCAACTAACTCCGAAATGTGGAATAGCGAATGAAGGTAAGGATGGTTCGTCTCGCTTGTACCTGTTTCCTACTAACTCCATCAGCTGGAATGCAAATACCGAGAGCCTCAACCGACCAAGTACGTAATGTCCGAGTGTAACTTATACCATCGTCGAATAGATTCGACGGAATCCTGAACTGTATTGCGTTGCGCGGTTACGTGTCGGATATAACTAACTAGCTACAGAAAAGACAAGACCCTCGTTGAGATATTAGAGCGACTGAAGAGCCTCGAGGGAGGGTTGAGAAATCTTGATGGGAAGGTCGATAGCCTCAATGCTCGAGGTACACTCCCCCTATCTATTTATGGCCCAATACAGTCCAACCCTCCCCCTGCGTCTCTAGACCCTGGTCCTCCCAGCCCGTGGCCTCCTACAAACGTTCACCTTCAGCCCTCAGCAATTCCCCTGGCCTCGCCCCGAGATGTGCAATATGTCTCTGCCACTCACAGGATGCTCTCCTGGCCTTTTATACAGCAGCTCCTTGAGAATAAGGTTCCGAGCCTCGACTTAACGAGCTTAGAGAAGGACGGAGCTGCTATGTTGTTGGGTTTACAAGGTCGAATCGCGTCTCTACCGACCAACATTTATAGACCACCCCATCTGGATACCGAAGGAACATCTCTATCACTACAAGTTCCTTCCCCTAGTCAGGTTGAAGGGCTGCAGGCGGGTGGGCTGAGTTTAAACTGGGAAACAATGCAAAGACTTACTAAATCGTATTTCGACACATTTAACTTGATATATCCGATCATGGACCGGCAAGTCTTCTTGTCCGAAGTCTTACCGGCTATGGCGAGCCACGGCTTCGATGAGAGCAGCTCTTCGACGTTAACATGTCTAGTATTCGCGCTTGGTGAAGTAGCCATCAGCGCCGTGCAGGGCGCTCCGCTTGGGGTAAGTTCGGCTTTAGGAGTTCCATCACCCCCACGTTTATTTACCTGCATTACACGGGGGTGATGTGTAATTTCTGATATACCCAAGAGTGAAACGCTTTCCATATACGACAAGTTGCTAATTTGATGACCAGACACATAAAGGCCGTCCTAGTGGTATTAGGGGAGGAACAATGGAAAGGCCGCCGGGACTACTGTTTTTCAATGAGGCTAGAAAGAGAATGGGTTTCAATCTGACCGAATGCAGTCTAGAAAACGTGCAGATCTTTGCATTAGCAGCGTGAGTATACCCCTGGCTAGCATCTATACGACTGGGTACCTACTTACGATTTTTACGATTTCAATGTCTAGCATATATTATGGGACATGTTGTCATCATCTGGTAACTAGAACCGTACTAAATGAATTCTTGTTCCCGCTAATTAGCTTAGGAGTTTTGGCGTATGACGACCTCGGCATCGCTGGCGTGCCAGGCATTGTTGACGAGGTATGCACCGAAGAACAAGCACATTAGAGCCGTATTAACGTGGTCCTCAGTAACCCGGATGTACTAACAACTCACCGAGGGGACTTGGTCCGGAGAACGTTTTGGCATTGCTCTATAATGGAGACGTATGTTGTTGACTTACCTTGATTTATGTCGATGTTCTAGACTGAATGAGTACAGGTGTCTGAATATGGAGCTAAATATTTCTCGGACTGGATTGGATAAGCTAGAATCACTAGTAGGACTACCTGACTTCAGCGGCTCATTCTCCGAAGAAGATTATGTCGGGAACCAAGCTTCCCACTTTCAGGAACATTTCGCTTCGCAAATAGTACTTCGGCGGCTATCCGTGGAGTTTCATACTACGCTAAGTAATGGTGGGTGTATTTTTAATCCTTAAGTCTTATTGTTAGGGGATCTACGATAGATATCGAGACCTTTCGATGTTCGCTTCCTCCGCCTTAGAGATAGGGGCTAACTTAGTAAAGCTTTCGGCCCTACGAATCCTCCTCCCGAAACGCCAATATCCCCAGCAGCCGTGATGACGAAGCAAATGGCCGAACAGTTGGATCAATGGAGAGGCTTACTGCCAGTATATCTGCGCTGGGAGGAAGATAATCCAGGGGCATTCTCGAATCAGGCTGAAGAAATGTACGGTGATCAATCGATGTACCCGCCCCCCGTCCCCGACCTTCATACGAATTTCATGTTTTCGGCGGACCTAGATAACCCTCCTGTGACCTATCCTTACGCGGTGGATATACAGGCCGCCAGCCTTAGGACACGATATTACTACGTTAAGTATCTCATCTACAGGCCATTCATCTTCAAAGCCCTACATCATCCTGAGCAGATGACACGGGACGACGCGGAGGGTGTCGTGGAATGTCTTAAGGCGATGTTAAAGTGGCCTATTGCGATGTCGCCAACTTGTTTCCACAAGAGACTAATCCCATGCCTCTTCTTCTGGTCACAGAATCTCCTCGGCATTCTCCTGATCCTACATCTGACACAGCAGGTACCCATCCTAATGCGAATACGGGCATCGCTGATGGGGACTAAATTCGACCAAGATGCTAACGAGACGGCCGTATTGTGCATCGATTGGATACGGGACCTCAAAGATACGGATGCGACCGCTCTATGGTGTTGGGAGATTCTGAAAGGAGTCTACTCTCTAGAGGACGACACGTGATGATGCGATTTCTTTCCCGCCACCGATACCCCCTCACCGTTCTTTCTTTTCATCATAGGGCCTGGGTTATATGGCGAAGCGCACGGTAGCAATTTGGAACGAGGCAAGAGAACTAAGTCTATCATCTGTTATCTTGGGAGGTATTATTTATGGTCATATATCATCGAGGGATTATCGGCGCTAGGAGCTTGCGGGATTCGTGAGAAGTTATCAACAGAATATCGTGCGGGGCGGTTGTGATATCTCAGATGCATTGCCGGGCGAGGGATTAAAGGCTATCTGTTTTTTTTATTGTCTAGGTACTTTTCGAAGCATTTACAATAGTAGACTTGACATCCTTAGCACGCTAACTTCGTCAATCGATTTTATTGAGGCTGGGGTCCTTTTTATTTCCTACTCTTCCGTGGTGGGAATGGGCTTTTGCTTTAATCTGGTGCAAATATGAACAGCTATGACATGACATACTCTATTCGTAGTTGGATTTGGACGCTGATTAGGTAGACTTGCAGCATTCTTTTCTCGTCTGTCACTATCTTCAAAATTGAGATGTCGGTACTTAGGTATTCACCTATATTTGCTAAGTCGCCTATTTGAACCTGCGATTCCCAATATAACTGCTGTCTTGCAAGAATCCCTAGCCGCTCGAGAGGAGCTGGTTACCCACAACCAGTGTCCATGATAATAACCGTTATACTAATCTACATAGTACAAACCTAGCTTCTCTTGATCTAGATTTAGCTTATCGAACTCATCATGCTATGTCGTGGCTGAGTAGGTAGGCCCCTTTTAAGCACTCCTATGACCAGCGAAAATAGGGGCGATGTAGTGCATAGGGACAGAGTATACAGAGACCACAAGGGGGCGATGGGGTAGGCATGAATACTCCTGAAGTTACTCATCCTTTAGGTGGGGATATGGGTTTTGGTTTGCACGGCCAGGACTCGATGCTAAGAAGTGTAACATGTGTTGGGGCATGATGCGGCGCATCGGCGCTATCATTCAGAGCTTCGCCTCTTACTTGCCGCAGGGCCTCTAGATTCTGCCTCTATACTCACGTATTAGAAATCAAAACTCCTTAAGGGCATTGGCAGATAGATACCCTGAGTCCAGTACCCGGTTGGTGGTAAAGTGGGTAGTTGTCTGCGACCCAGAGCTGCTTGCCCGTCGTGAATGGGTGGTTCGGTCGGTTGCGAAGCCGCAGTGTCTGAAACAGCTTTGAGGAGCAACATCCAACAGCAGTACCGTAAGGTTGATGTCGAGGGCGATCTTAACATTGATGCAGAACTCCTTGGTGATATCGGGGGTGGTTTAACTCCATCGTGGGGAAGAGGTGGAGATATAAGTTGCGGTGAGCTGAAATAACGGTTCGGCCCTGCCAGACTAATATACATACGCGCATGAATGAGCTCAAGTACATATCGTCCCTATGTAGGTTTCGTGTGGCGTAGATGGCGGTCTGCTGGCCATCCGCCGTCATGTAAAAGTAGTTCCTTCTATGGGTCGGCAAGAGCCGAGCATCTTCCAAGGATCGTGAAGTACATTTTAGCGCCATACATAGGAAGCAATTGTCACGGTCATGGTCGTGCTTCCATTGCTGCGCACTAATAAGGGTTAGCCGTTGACATGGTTTCATGAAGTGATCTGGGAGTGCTTGTTAGATCTCTAATGTTGCGCACATATGACAGAACGTGATTTTTCCGTCTAGAGCCAAGCCTTATGGCTCCCTAGGCTCACTCGGACTTTTCTTTATTTGGGTATACATGTACAGATATTCAGAATTGTGGACGAGTTGACTGATGGTCTCCGAACTCCGAACTAGCTGCGAACTTATTCGTATCTGTTCAAGTCGTTGCTAGAAGCACATATGCAGGTTTATCTGAGTACTAAATGCCGCGGAGAAGCTGAAGCATAAATGTCTACTGATCGGGAAGTGATGATATAAGTGATACCTATATGTAAGTGACCTATATGTAAGTGATGATATGACGCCCATCGGAACGGGTCTCGAAGAACTGCTGGCTTGGCTGTGCGACCTGTCAGAATTGCGTACCTAAAGCTAGGGGAATCGGAACCAGGCCGGAAAGCGTTGCACTGCATTGAAGCGTCCGTCGGACTTTTATTAGGCTCTTTTATTGAAGGGCATCGCACACGCCCTCTTGTGTGCCCTGCGGAGCTAGTTGTGGATACTATATCATAGCCTAATAAAGCTGACGTCGGACATCGAGGGAAAAAAAAAAAAAAAAAAAAAAAAGGATACATAGAGAGACTAAGAGAGAGAGGCATTGCCGCTTTCTTGACAGTGTGTACCGATTTGCTCTGGGGGTGACTAATAATAAGGATACTAATAAGAATAGAATATAATAATAATAATAATATGAAGAGAGATCAGACGAGCGCTTTGACTTTGGTCGAAACTTCAAATTTACGCTTTGACGCCTTGCCCTCGGTCTTTTTTAACGGGTTCCACTTTTGAGATCGATAAAATGTCTAAGCGCGCGTCGGAACATTGAATCCAACAAGATAGTAGATGTACCTACGGACTTGAGATCTCGGTTGGTGCATATTGCGCAGTATGTTTATGTAATAGAAGTACCTGATACAAGGACTTTCACGGCGGATATGGGTACCTTAGTACCTGTAGTAATCCACTATTAGTTTCTCTCTTGCCCCGCATAGTCGTTTCAAACTTTATGGAGCTATATTAGCAGCTAGTAATCCGTACAACAAGGTTTTTAACGGCGCCCATCTGTCAAAGAAGAAACGTACGTTCGTATCATGGTATGATTCCAAAGAAAAACCTGCTTGATATCTTGGCGAAGTGCTTCGAGAAGAATTCCTCCCCACATAATTCATCGTCGCAAGAAGGATTTCGTCGTCAATTCCTCATATCTTACTGGGGACGATGGCTCCGATCGTGAGTCGGGAGATACCTAGGTACATTGTATGTAAAACGGGAAACTCCCCGACACCGACTGGGCGGGCACACATCCACAATGCTGCAGTAGTTCGCCCGTCGACAAGTCCACTTAATGTTCAACGGCGGCTTATGCACGCTAACTCGGTACATAATAATATGACAACTTTGACTTTCTATATTCTTAGCCGAGTATACATAGCATGACGCCCCGTCCAACTTAGGAACTTCATCTATACGTGCTCTGGCTCCTTAGCCGAGCGGTCTACTTAGCATTGATGTTATTACAACATTTTTATCGAACCGATTTCGAGGAATTCTAGACTCCGCATAGATCCGGGGTTTTGCAGAACGATAAATCTTCAAGGACTACTTCGGAATCACCCATCACTTACCATTTTACTAGGTTCCTTTGGCGTCTCAATGTTACCTTTCGTCAATGTCCTTGCAGTTGTATCCGCCCTGCCCTTACCCGGCCAATTTCCCAGATAAAATGCTTTTTAATGCGAGTCAAACGTGCACGCGTTACATCTTGAACGTATTCGAGCCGACAAGGCGCCTTGGCGTTTCCAAAGGTCCGGTATGCGTGACTTGGATATGTTCCCGCTAGTCTTCAGCTCATAGATTTCCGGAGATCTCGCAGGTACCGAGAAACCAGCGTTGGTAATAAGAGCCCCCGGGTCGTTTCAAGCATTTGTTACAAAGGGGCCAGACTCTTGGGTGTCAACTGTGACCCCTAGCAAGAGATCGGCGGCCGCAAATGCAGCCGCGACCCTTTTCGGTAGATCAATTCGGATGCCGGGTGAAAGAAGTGTGAAGCTATGTAAGTAAAATTTTGGCGCCTCACTGTTTTAAGCCAGGGGTCTGTCCGTATTTGTAGCCTTGCAGTCAGTTACAATCGGTTCCGGCCAATCGCGGTGATAAGGATTTGAAGCCTACGATGCTATGCTTCGTTCTTCCCAGTTTCACAGGGATCTATCTATATAAAGAGACTAGCTCGTGGGGGTCGCTATCACACGAGTTGAGCCACATGAGGTAGGTAGGTATTGAATGTGTATGATACATACCTCTGAACTACTAGGTCGACGTTGAGGTACTTTGGGTCATCACGTTTTGTGCTTCGAGGGTCTAAGGGATAAAAGCAGCCCTTGATGAACGGACCAATCATAAGAATCTAAGACAAGCGATTCGGCAACGTCACACACATACATACCTATATAATGGCTTATCGATTCTACGTTATCATTGTTACACTATTCCAACTGATTTATCCGTTACTGTTATTGTCAAAGCGACTCAATGAGTACAGGACTATGGCATGAAAAAGCTTAATGTTCAAATTTACATCACACATCAGCTTCCTTGTAAAGGTGATGATCTTAGCTCGATCTAATGTTTCGTTGGAATATTAAATATCAAAACGGCAATACCCTTTAGATTATTTTATTATTTCATAAATATGAATCAGCCACAGATTACGTTTGCAGAACTTGAGCAAGTCAAATAACAGGAGCAAAGACTGCCCCTCTACAATAGAGATACCTAATTTCCCGCATTGCTGCGAGCTCACCAACCCGCCGGGCCGCGGCTTACACTTTGGAACGCCCCGGTAGCACAAAACTAATGTACCCAGCCTCAATATTCCCCAGTTCTCAGCCAAAACCCGCCAAAAGCTAGGGGCCCCGCCTGCCCGCCCTAGCCGCCACATGGACTCGGAATAGATGGAAGTTTGCCTTTTTTTTCATTCCTTTCATGACCTAGGTCATTATGATTCCAGCTTTTACGATGCTGTGATCACTTTAGTCTTAATCTAATAGGTATCATAAACCTAGATATGATTAGGATGTTCCTAGGTGATTATTGTATAAAGCTAAATGATGAATTCACGTCGCTATATTTTGTACGATGTATCGGAGATACAAATATGATGGAAACTAATGAAACGGACTTGAAAGTTGCCAGCCAATCTCCAGATTTATTTCATACATACATGTACCTAGCCTAGCCTTGTGGCACAGCTGCTGCACGTGCAATCTAGATCGGCTCTTTAAATTGGTTTGTTTATTTAAATGCTGGGGCTTTAAGACATGTAGCTAGCCCATTTCCAACTTCCATTAACGGTCTTAATCACTTTTATCGATATACGTGTACTTCATTTTTATAATTGTTCCTTACCAACGGACACCAAGTGAGATGACTTTTATTATGACATAATTATACATATAAAATCATTACGTATTATTATCGACACGATCTCATAATATATATAATTGGCCTGAGTTGACTAAGCACATGTAAGTAATAGACGGGATGCATGCATCCGGCTCTAGTCTCTAGTGCATGTACCTATTTAGAGACGTACCGGACCGCGCGTAACTAGCCCGACCTAAAAGACAGCCGAAACGTGCTCATGTACCACATACATGCGTAACATATTTTGAATCGGTTATCAAGTTTGTATATTGCAAGTATCTTATCTTCCCCCATAATTCTTTTTTTTCGTTTATTCAATCGATACCTATACATATTAATATTATGTAGACAACCGCCTCATCATCTACAACTCTCCAACTTCGCCGTCTCACCACTCATCATGAAGTGGAACCTTGCTAGCACTTCGAGCGAACGCCATCTTCCTCGCAGGGCTGCATCATTAAGCAAAAACACAATCAAGGGTAGCGTACCATTATAGCTATGTACACTAGTACAAGCCCCTTGCTCATCTTCTTGATCGGAGAACCTTGAGGACTTTCTTTCCTTTTTCATTGTAACCTTCTTCTGTATTTGTCTTCATCTTTTCCTATCCTGTCACAACCAGGTCTATACAAAAAGTAATATGTGCCACGGTCAACCTTCTTATGACTAACCGGCCTGCCCATGATGTACTTACAGTACATATTCCTGAAGTTCCCCCCGCTCTGCTCTCCCTGCCCCTCCTGAGTCCTGGACCACTATTTTTTCCCTCCGTTCAGGGATGATATCTCTCTCCAAGCTTTTCTCCTTAGCCCTAGTCGAAGTCCGACCATGCTTCATCGATCGTCTGATGGAGCTAGATTTGCTTAGGCCCCGTTCGTCGTCACACATACTTCACTCTACTCGCCGTGATTGTCGATAGTTGACCTGGGTTTTGAGACGTATTGTGCAAGTGCCCTCTTTGTCAGTGCTCTCAGACATGGATAATCTCTTTTTCTTTCTTGACCCATGTCATATTCTCTCTCATGGGGCCTCTCTCCCATGCTCCAGATTTTATATTCCTCTCTCTAGTACTGTTAGTACCGTGCTCATTATCATCCTGTCCCACTGAGAACGGTGTTGAGCCCGCCTCGAGTTATGCCTAATTTGCATACGGACTTACACTCACACCCTCTCATACTCTCTCTTACACTCGTCGTACATATAATAACACTTACGCACGTGTGTACTACGCATACACAGGGACCAGGCTGACCACACTTTAATAATAATAATGACTGTCATTCATTAATGTCTCAACACATCTTACAAGGTAGCTTGTACGACTCATTGCTTCTGGAAAGCAATTCGGCCGGGCACATCTCCACCCTCCATATATAGAAATATATAAGCTTGACATGCTGTCACGATCTCTTTCCGGGGCTTCCCTAGAACTCTACTACTACGATTCCTATTCGCAGAGCTTAAACCACGTTATAATCAGAACCTACTCCCACATCTGAAAACCTTCCTTAGCCATCATCATTATTCTATTCATGAGATAGGCAACGGTGAAAGGTGTGTACAACCCATCAAATCTCACTGTGAGACAACCCTCTTACTGATGATGGATGCTTATTTAGGTGACATTACACAGAAACATACATACTCACAAACCACACTATATCACCTCCAACCGTCATCATGTGTGATTTCATAAAGAACTACTACATCTACACATCGTGTCTTGACCCAGGCGCACACTTTTTCCGCACGACCATAGATGGCAGCCGGAAGCACGCCTGCCCGAAAGGCCCACATGAGCGCTACATTGTCCAACCTGGCCAATGTCCATTATGTGGATGAGAACTCAAACGCCATATTCATTCACCAATTGGACGATCGCGATGTTAGGATCCGACTAGCTGTCGCCAATAGCCGTATTTAGATCGGGTACATATTCTATCAGCAATCTTGGACACCATTAATGTGTAAATTTCTCTCTTGTCACACTTCGATACCTAGGATTTGCTCCTTCGACCCTTTCAGTTTGATAGAGTTGTGGCAGGGGATCAACAAACCGGATGGCCACTCCGAATTTCAACCATCTTATGAGATTGAGTGGGCGGTTTTTCGGTTACTGTTACAAGAAGACACGTACTTCCTGTACGACGTTGAGGTCGACCACCACGTCATGGTATTAGTAAATGGGTCCAGCTTGGAAGAGGGGGCGGGACCGGACCGTAGAGAACGACAAGGCCTAAAGACGCTCCCGGACGAAAGAGCTCCACGAGCCACTCTGCAAATGAGAGATAAAGAAGTTCATTGGATGGACTCGCATCATTGTCTTGGCGGGGGTTGCTATGCGGCGCAAGGATTATTAAGAGATTCTATTGTAGTTGGGTGATACTTCGAGATGGATGTGATGGTTCTTGGAGCATCACAGACAGTAGCATACAGGCTTCTGCGGGACCGCATCCATCCCATGGATATATGATCCACTCTCGTACCAAGGGTACCTGGAAGGGATTCTCTTGGGTCACAACATTTTAAAACTCTTCAGTAGTGGAGGATTTGATATCATAGGTATCAATGCTAATATATGTATATATACCCCTTCTTTAAGACACTATTCATAACATCAAAAATTGTTGGAAGGACATCACATCAACGATAGAGGGATTTCCAGGATGTGCATGTTAGCGTGAATATTAACACTCGCAACTCATTAGCCCATCATCGAATTTTTTATGAATAGGTTGTATTATTCGAGATATGCACCCACTATATTCGACACTAGGTCCATGAGAGTATAAACCCGCAGCTAGTGCCTACTTAATATCAAAGCAAGGGTGGAGTGAAGTTATCGGAGTTGCTCACATGATTTAAATGATTATGCAGATATGGTGCAGTCGACGAATATAGCGTGTGATTGCGGTATAGTAGATCGCAAATATACCCCCTAATTGCGCTTTGCTAGGGAAATAAGCCCGCTACTACCCGATCGCCGCCATCGAGACATGGGGATGATAGATCTAGTCGATAACCTATATAGGTCCTTTATATAGAAATCCTCCGTAGCTGTGACCAGATATAGCATTGGCATGTAAGCCATCATCTTCGCCAATCTCACTCCGCGGCAAACATTAATATGCAAGCCAAATCGCCAAATCGCCACAACCCCATCCCTCTACCAAGTCAAGCCGTAGTCTTGACGTAATTAGGCCCCATACGTTGGTGGTCACTTTCCAAGAACAAAGTAAGGGATGGTGAGACAAAACGATCTCCGTATAGCTACCAGGCTCATAATGATGCTCTAGGCATGACTAATATAAGAGCTTACGAAGGAAGCACGACTAACATGATTAGATATAAAAATGTGAGGTGCTTATTCGTAAGCTGCACGTCCATAGTCCGCTCAATAACTCCCCACCTTTTCCGTTAGAAGGCAAACGTGGTACAGATGCCCGTGTGGTAAGCAGGCTCCATCTGTCGATGGTAGGCCACGGACTGACTGACCTTGCGCTGCTACACCGACTTACCAAGATTGCACAGGGCTACCTTAACACTAGGTTCCACATGTCCGGCTAGACTACAAAGCTACGCTCCGCTCCCGTAGCAACAGCTCGGACCGAAGGTGGAGCTTATTACGTGCTTAATCGCTAGGGACGTAATAGGAGATACCTAGACGCTTAGATCCAGAGGCTCACTGGGGCCGAAGCTCCTAAGACCATTAGGGTAATGAGGAGATGGTCTTAGTAACAAGGCTGGAAATACACTACCCCTATAATGAATAGAAGATCGTGGATAAGATATCTCGATGGGAGACTACCTAGTAACATTATACACGACATATCGAGATATGAAGGGGCCTTCGAGTGCGACCTATTACTTGCATGACATCTTGTTGATCATCATCGGCAGCCCATCCCTACTAGGCGTAAGATAAGCAGCCACAGTAAGCTTCTCCAGGTTTTCAAATCATCCAACATGAATATCACAAACAATGGCTGTAGATCCCGAAATACCGTATAGCCGTGCTGCCTCCATCAACCTTACCGTCAGCTTAACCACACCGTAAGCAGGAGGAAATATCACCAATGCTTTCGTCGAGGTTGTGAGCCGGAGCCCCTAGAACCGATCGTCACTAGACGGCGCGCACACACCTTTGATGTGCTAGACTATGCACAAATGCAGGCTAATGCATCCACGAAGAGCTGTCAACCACATCTGGTAAGATATCGGGAACCGATAGGCACGATTCCGTACGCAGAAAGGGGAACGGCCAAGGCTGTAACTGATACCCCAGTCTTTGCACCCCGTCCCGTCCCAAAACGAAGCAGCGCGGTCCCGTTTTGTAAGCGAGCCGTTGCGGACGGACCTCGTTACTACATAGCACGTAGACGTCGCACCCCGAAATCGTCCAGTATTGATTAACGAGCCGAGAAAGATCTCGAAGGCTAGGCATAGTTATGAGCTACTGCAATATATCTGTTTCATCATGCAAGTAGCGGGCACAAGACAGGTTGGCGTAATAATACCATAATAGTAGGACGGCAAAGACGAAGCCGCATATTCCTCTTCTTCTCTATTCGTGGACCAATCTAGTTAGAAGATCAAAGCTGGCGGTCACACGGGCGCTCCAACGCGAGTTGTTTACCTACATAGAATGGTAGTGATATATCATATTGACGGATAGACGGGACTGACAAATTTTTTTCTCTTCTGGGCTCTCTCCTGCTTCAGACCCTTGACCGACGCTGCAGTTGGTGTCAAAGACACAAGAATGGTGACAGGATCCCCAGCCACCAAAAAGATGGAATTGAGGAGAAAGTGATAACGGAAAAACCTGTGCCGAGGGTGGTTGTCCTGCCACCGCTATACATAATATGCTCATGAGGTTATACAGGGGGTGCTATAATAGACCGTGCGCATATGCACGACCGAATGGGATTTTTCTCAATCGAATCAAGTTAGATTCCTTTCCTAGATCAGCTATGTACGAAGTTACCTAGCAGCTGGTCCTTGTTAAGTCCGCACTGTGACATTCCGCTTCTATCACTTGCATACTCTTACCCACAGCTTAACCATTCTAGGATCAGGTGTACCTACCGAGGCTAGTATAAACGGAGAATACTTTATTCAAATGTAACCAGACTGAAATGTAACGTATCTCGTACCGAATCAAAGCTGTTATCTAGTTCAATTAATGAAAAAATGAAAAACCGAAAAAAATATTTACACGACTCAAGTTTATAACTGCCTAGGAGCATTAACAAAAGGACATATCGAGGACACGAGTTCATAAATACAAAGCCAGCTTATCCCCCTTTTATACAGTTAGGTGACGAGCTAGATATTAATGCCATCTCGAAATAGTCTCAGCCTCGTATTTACACTACGAAATTTAGGCAAGATGATTCTATCCCATTGTGTAATATACACTGCTCGCCGACCAATATAAGATTACCAGATTATACTTAAGGAGACCGCAAGTACAGCTACTTGGAACCACAACCGCCATCCCGTCGTCTAAGCCTAGAAATGTTCTAGCTCCTTATCCACAAGGCAATTCTGTCGGGCGAGATGCCCTCTGGAGAACCCTGCAGGGTATGGGTACAGCCGAGAGATCTCAATATGAGTTTCCGTATCTTGTGATTTGCTGGTCTCATCCGCTTGCGCCATAATGTACAACACTACGACCGTCGACACGTGGGTTCGATAACGGGTCCACCTCCTAACCAAGATCTTGTGAGGCTCTCCAACAGGGTTTTATCGGGAAGTATCGAATACATGACTTCTCCATTCCGCTATAACCCCCCTTGTCTCCAATAGGCTCGCACAAGGGGCCGCCAATAAGCAGTGGTTGATATGCAGTAATCCAAAAAGAAATATACCTAGCCCTTAGGCTTGTGCCAGCGTGCCCCCGAGTTGTTCCCTGTAAGGGCAACCGATAATTCAGATACCGAGAATAGAGAAGATTGTTGCATACGCGGGTTATTACCTATCTGCTTAACGTCATCCAATACTAATTACTTCCAATTCAGGTATTACGCTTTGTAGACTTTGGAGACGGCTATCTGCACCACACAGACAAAATGGACACCTGTCTTACTGGATTCGATTATCCAGTGGATCTTCATTACCCCTTTTCTGCTGCAAGAAGCAGACAGATGAAAGCAATACATACAATCAAGTAGCTACGAAAAAGTATCTCTCACATTTTCACATCAGTTCCAAATTGCTTCTCATAAAATGTCTAAACGGTTAATCCCACGAAGCTGTAATCGTTAACAGAATATCCTTTCAAGTATCTCGTAACCATAAGCAAGCCAAAAGGCGGTGGACATTGTCCATCCTCCAAAATATCAGGGGCTGGAAATTTTTTCAGGAGGGCCACGACTTTTATGACAGGTCATCAAGAAACGAATATATCCAAAATAAAGAAGCGACGACTACACTTTCTAGAGCTATACCTTTGAGATTTAATATTCGTAAACACGTCGGCATCTAGGAGAAATATACCGGAAACATATAAAGATTCACCGCATATTACGCTATAATTCGTTATCCGGTAATACTTGACAGCCTCACGACAAGTCATATACGTATGAGAACGAAACAATTAATAGGAGAAGGAATTTTTCGGCGTAACCATTAAACCTATTATTACCTAGCCAACTCGATGATCTAAAGCTCGACATACAACTACTCGACCGGCAATAGCATCTGATACGAACGTCGTATCACTATACTCGACGACAAAGGCTAGAACAATAAGACTGAAAACTGCTACGGCCCGAGTAAAGAACTCCCATGATACTTAGACTTATCCCCGAGGAAAAGGAGTTAGCAATCTCCAAGATAGACACACAGCAAGGCTTCCAGAAAATACCGTGCCGATGCGAACACTAGATATTATATAAACTATACCGGCAGTCCGAGATAAAGCCCAAGAGACCTGATTTTGGTATTCATCACATAATAGTAAAGGCTATACCATCCTTAGTTATCTGGAGACCGAACCAACACTACGATGGATTTACTTAATATGCTAGGTAACTCACAGGATTTCAGTGTTGCACAATAGGTACCTTAAAAGTCTCCAGGCAACCCGTTGTAGCGGATGTACACCAGCCCTGATCATCACATCCACGGCAGTCCTAAAGTCGATAGACGACGTTGATGGGAGGTTACTTGCTAACTTCTACCTTTCATACTCCGTTAACCGAGATCACGGCCAGTTCATCGACGAAACGGACGAGAATAAATTTGATCATTTTATGTCAGCACCTTCCAATACGACCGCAGATATTGATTATACCAAAGTTGTTGAGTAGAGGGGAACAACAAGACGAAATCCGACTCAATTAGGGCTCAACCAGACTCTTATGCCGTTCAACCACCACGGAATCGATATAGTTTTTCTCAGAGTTACGAATTATCGCGAGGTGGAAAGAGGAAATTATGAGGTCTATTAAAACGAGAAGCTTGCCTCGGGACGACGGGAAACAAATTGTGTCGATATGGGCGACATCACGAAGAGGACGAATGAATAGTCGAGACGAGACTATAAGGTACGATCGACGGACTAGCAAGTATCGACTATCAAGAGGCTATCGAACCCATCTTCCAGCATCAGCAGCAGCATCTTAGAAGCCTGCCTTGTTTATCCATTAAGAGGAACGAAGCAATCGGCATCCCAGATATTTACCGAGACGTCTATTATCGAGCGCAAACCCGGATTTTCTCTAAACTCGGACTATAGTATCTGAGACGATGGTCCTGTACGACGGATTTCTAACGCAAAAGAGTATGGAAGAAGGAGGAAGGGGGAAAGATCTGTCTGGGTTTACTCGTACATGATGGGGACGGCACCTAAGTTTGGCTTGTTGATGACTAACGACGAAATATACCTAGCCGGCTAAGCGAAACCCATGATGTGCACCGTAGGACCTATCTACGTAACGGAAAACGATTAGAAGACGGGCTATCTATCAGTAGCAAGAGAGGGGAAAGAGGATTACGGTATCGGTGGGTAGCAATCTACGAATGCGATGGGATTTCCAACCCACGGATGACTTTAAAATTGGGGGGGGCCTATATTCGACGGTTAGGCACACGGGTGCTGGAAGTACTACCTACCTACACGACGACAGCGACGACAGCGATTACATATCGCAGAATTCCCGACGAGAATGATTTATATACGAGGACGAAGTGACGTTACTTACACGTGTACGGGCAATGGGTCGAAGACGAGACAGCCCGAGTAAGAGAGAAGTCAGCTATTAGCGCAGAAGTATCATCGACAAGCGAACGGGAAGCAAGGCCCGGTGTTATGGTAGGGTTACTGCTCCTCACGGCCGCTGGTTATTGTGCGGCATGTAGGAGCGTAGAGAAGTTCGCCGAAGCGCCGGTCTAATTCTCATCGCGTAAAGCTTTGAGACGCCTATCATGCTCGATGTATCCCAGTACCGCCGTGGATCGACCTGCCCCTTTTATTTGCGTGGCTATAAGACCTTGGGATATCTCGGCGACAATAATATTCATCTATTTCTGGAATGGAGGAACTTAAGTCTTACCTATATCTGGGAGTGGGGAGCGGATAGTTGAAGAGGCGAGTCAGGTTGAAGACGTGCGTTTTTACCATGAGTGCTTAACTCGGTTGCTGCTCGGATTTAAAGTATAGGTCTGTCAGGATTCTAGATGAGACATCTAGAACAAAGGAACTGTCCAGTATGTATAGACGATAGATCTTCATAGGTAGTTTAGAGTTCCTTGCGGAACAACGAAGTTGTTTCCATACTGTTTCGTTCCACCTCGTGACAAGGTCGGGAAGATCTCATGTGCCATGCGATAGGAATTTGACATCGTCTGGTATCTTTAATACTGTCTTATGTGTTTCTATCACAGCCACTACGCCCTGGGGTCTCGTTTCCATTCTAGTCGATCAGCAAACGGATCCGTCGAGAACCTGGAACTGTTTGCATGATTTAACCACCTCTATTATAATACTAATCCTCGGTGATCTATTAGGTACTTCGCAAGGTGGAACGAGGCAACGTAGATGTATTTAGAATAATACCTGCTGCGGATTGTTAATGACAGTCCCTCTATTATGAGAACGCCTATCGCAGACTGATATACAGTTAGTATTCTCATGCCCCGTTATTCTTGTTCCCTTTATCCTCTTATGCATAGATAGGTATATTCTATCTGATGGATGGATCGATAGGGTATATCATCCAGGAAAATCGGCCTGCTTAAGCCCTCCCTGATTTTCCCAAGATCGGCCTCGAGGTTCTCGAAACCGTAATGCTTGATCTTATCAGTCCACCTACATTAGGTATGTAAGCGTCGAGAGCCTGCGCCCTCATTTGCAACAGCAGCTTCATAATCATTTGCAGGACCAGCCGGTCCGTGATTTCGAATTTTCCGATTCTAGCAGGCCGAATATCATGTCTTTGCTAAGCGTTATCGAGAGTATATTCATCGAACTCTCCTATTGATTCTGCTGCTAAATCCAGCAACAACTGCGCCATTGATTTCTTGAAGAGGCTAAGTACATCCTCGATCTTGGACCGCTTCACGTCTAGCTCTGCTAAGCATTGACGTTAAACTGCCCCTGATTAGCCATTCCTTTTTGCCCCTTTTTAGTTAACTACGGCTCCGAGCGCTTTGATTAGAAATTACTACAGTCCTTTAAACCCAAGTGACAAGATCGAGCGACAGACGATATATTCTAATCAGCTGCGAAAGGTGATCGCGGTTGGATGCAGTCTGCCGTCGATATTTTCTTCCTCTGAGTATATGTACAGGTATGTCACACTCTTCCCTCGGCTCTTCAACAATCAGAAAGCCATCGATATCTTGCTGGTCGTTGGGGTCAAGCAGCCACCAAAGAATCACGAGAAGCCAGCATG